CTAAAGCACTTGTGTTATGGAAATCAGAAACAACGACGGTACCACAAACACCCAGACCCGAGACATTAGAAAAGTTAGTTTCTACATTGACCCGGCTGGGGATCGAACCCAGGCCCTTAAAGATGGCGACATCATGAAAACCGATGTGCAAGCCACTCGACCCCAGAGGTCGTCACTATATTTTATGCGGGTTTTAGAGTCAACATTATTCTGCTCGACCACCTTTTACACACTTTAATGACTGTCTGTCTAATCGCGATAAACTCAAAAACTAGTGAACGGATTCTGGTACTGACTACACGGCCTGGGGCCTAGGGCGGCTAGGACTGCAAATCCGCCACTGGTTGTTGGGTTTACTCAGAATAAGCTTATGTGAGCTTAGCTAGCCTATGTTTACATCTATCAACCATGTAAAGTAATAATTTTGAAAATCAATATCAAATAAAATTGTGTCATACTATGTGGAAACAAAAGTACTACATCCGGCACATAGTGGTGTCGATTCGCGAAAACGAAATAAAGTATTGTATATATTTATTACCTTAAACGCCTTCAAGCAAGGAACGAATGCGTGTTCCAGACGCATGCTAAGCTTCTCCGTGGAGAGTCCGTGGTACGCAGGCACGGTGGGCAGTACCATCATTGAGAACTTGATGCCTATCTCCCGCCACATCGATGCTTCTAATCTAAATAATAATACTGTACAATAAGATACACCCAAAGAGATCCTACGAGTTATGTATGTGCAATTGTGCATGGCCCAGATAACTTAAGAGAGATCGTAGCTCTGAAAAAGGTCAAAATCCCGTCTTATAACCAGATGCCGCTGATCGATAGCCTGGAAGTAGTTTTATATTACGTAAATGGGTATCAATTAATTCTCTTTAAGAGTCTATCGACTGTGAATTGGCAACCGGTACTATCTCAATTTTAACAACTTTACAGGTTGAAAAAAAAAACAATTTATATACCTATGCATCCGGTTTATTAAATAAAAATACGTAGTGCACATACATTCATGTATAATAAAAATATGTAAATACTAAACATCTAAAAACAAATAAATGACGCAAACAATTTTTTTTCTTCACCTGTTAATAGGGAGCATGCCAAAAAAGTTTTGACGTTGGCTCCGCCCAAATTTTTGAAAAAGTGCGCGTGACATGCGACAGGAGATGTTGAATTTTGCGCATTAAAAGTACCAAATTCGTTTTAGCGGAATAACTCTAAAACTAAAGGGATTAAAAAAAATCCGTAGTGACAGTTGTCGATCATGCATAAATATAATTAATTATCTAATTTTTGTCCTATTAACCTGTAGCATTTCGAGGATAAATCGAAAAAATGTGAAAATTAGAGGTCATTTCGTGATTTTTATCTATCGAGGAAACTTTATTGTTTTATGTTTCTGATTAATGTCTATGCTTGAATATATCGTGTAGTTACTCATACAATATTTTATTTTTAACTTTAAAGTGGATATAGCCCTCTAAAATCAAATCGAAGATTAGGAATTTTTCCTCTGCTCCCTCTTAAGTTGTCAAAATTGAAATAGTACCGACTGCCAGTATACAGTCGCTATGCAACCTCAAATGGCCCTGTTTGATGATAGCAGTGGAAGTGTTAAATCAATCGCTTTGGAAAAAATATATAGTAAAATTGAGGAAAAAACCGCTGGATTCAATAGGTATTTTACATATACAAATGTTTTTTTTTTATATCAACTGAACTAAATAGAACACGTATAACTATATTATATACATTTTTCGAATGGCTATAATTTCGTACGAAAAAAAAATTCTGAAATAAAGTCACTTCCCTACCCTACCCCATGGACACTTCCTACCGCTCGACCCAAGCAAAGTGAACCGTATTAGGTAGAAAGGAAAAAATAAGCAGGTAGTTTCGACAATTAAAATGAAATACAAGTAGTCAGTTTTTTCCTTATAATCATCATATTATTCAAATATTGCTCAAGAGCTAAAATTATTTTCTGAACTTTGACAAATATGCGTAACAATAGATGGCATTGTTTGTTACTAAGTTGTCCGTTATCTAAAGCGTCTAAGTGATAAAATATTTTTTTGAGATATCATAAAAAACCATAACCCAGTTTTAGAATATTGAAATTTTTTAATTATATTTCATCTACGCATCGTTAGGGTAAGTTCCAATAAGTCGAACACGTTAACTAATTTCAACTGTATTTTAAAAGAGCATTTTGTGCCCTATTTTTCGCTATATAAAACGGTTATTTAACCATTTGTCACTTAGCCGTGTTAATTAGTGGACGGCAAATTTATATCCTAGTCCGTAACAAAATGAAACAATACACGCAGTATCCTTAAAAATCTGTGCAATAAGCGCCATCTTTGATAAATAGCAGCTCGCCAATGTAAAGCAAATTAGTTACAAAAATAGTGATTTGGTACTCGTAGCGACATCTGGTGTACCAAAAGGTACTAAATACTACTACGCTACGACCCAAAAAAATTGTTTCCTTTTCTATAATATAATTTGTTTTATGTAAACCATTGACTTACAATTATATGGAAGTCGGGTCCGCGCTAAAAAGTGTCCGCACTTGTAAGGCGCTAAAATCGTATACAGAGCGCCAAACTCCGCTTTAGTCTTCATTTGTTCGACTGACAGCGCGATACTGCGATGACATTACAATTTAAATTTCGAATAGGTTGACTTGGAACATTTTTTTCGTGGTTTTTGTATTAGACCCGTCGTCTATTTATTTGTAAGTCAATGATGTAAACGTATTATTTTTATCTGTCATATGATCGACGACGACGACGAGCTTTTGATATAAGATCGTGTGGCACTTTATTATACCGAGAATACGATTCAGGATGCTCTTACAGCTGCGACGCTTCTACAGTACGCCGGGAATGTTCGCCAACGTGGATGGTTTTGCAGCAATTAAAGGCGGCTGTATCGAGCGTTATGAATTGTTTCTTTCGGAAAACACAAATGACGGTTATTGCATTCCTTCTACATTAGCGGGCCTTACACAGATACACTATCGCGCGTGGTACCTACAGCTATCGTGGGCGATTGAGCGCGCGTGTAAAGACGTTGGAAGGAAAAGGGAAAGACCGCGCGATCGCGCACTCCAACACGCGGTCTATCCCTGCTCTATTATGCCGCGTTCACGAGTCTCTCTTCACATCTCTTGTGTTTTTCGCTTGCTTGCGTGACTCGCTTCCAGCGTACGCAAAGATCTGTCGCGTACGCGCAGGTAGGACTGTTCACGAGTCGTTCGCTTGCGCCGGCCGCTTGCTTTGCGTTGGATTTCTTTGCGTTACGTGAGTTTGATGTATAGCAAGCTTGATATTTCAACACAAGCAACAAGGAACGTTTGCGGAGGTCAGCACCACTGGCCAATCACAAAGCAGCAGCTGGTTCGAGAGTGTCGACAACCCAAACAAAGGCAAGGCGCCGCGCATGCGCGTCTCTCATGTCTCATGTCTCTCCGCAACGCAAAGCGGGAGACTCGTGAACGCCTTTGCGCGGAAGGCAGATTTCTACGCCGTGTACCCAGCCAACGCAAGCATGCGAAAATCGCAAGTGAAAGACTTGTGAACCCGGCATTAGCATTTACACGGACGCTCTTTCCCTTGTAACAAAAATCGCGCGCGAAAGAACGTTAGCTTAAAAAATTCAAACAGGTAATCGCGCACGAATGCGCGTGCGGGCTATCCCGCACGCAATCCGGTACGACCCTGATCACGTGCAATAGTGTGACTGTGTAAAGGGGGCTATTCGTTAGGTATAATGTGAAGAATCATCTCGTGAAAATTCACTAGTATTCTTAGGTTTTCTATTAGGCGATTGTTACACGTAAGAAATGAAGCTATTTTACCAGATTCAAATCGCGTTTTTTCAAACAAACCAACGTTTTGGGCCAACCGTCGTGACCATGGGAACTGTAAAGGGCTCGTTTGAAAACATTGGCTTGTTTGAAAAAAACAAATATAAGTACGCGATCTAAATCCGGAAAAATAGTTTCATTTCCTATATGTAGAACTCTATTTTTTACATACCAAGGGAGGCCTACGCCAAACAGTGGGTCAGATTGAGTTATAGATGATGATATTTTTTTACATTTCGTATTAAAATAAGTAACTTATTACCCCATTATAGGATGAGGAGCTAAATTAAATGCTTCCTTAATTACAGTCATCGAAATGTAGTAAGCTTGTACACCGGAGTCACAACGGACTGTATAACTGTATGGACGATTCGTAAGGACCTGTGAAACCACAAAAAGATTGAATATCAACTTGATATGATTGGTTCTTTATTGCAAACACAGAAGATTATCGATTCTTTCAAACAATGAGTCACGGAACACTTTATCAACTCCTGATTTGAATCTTTTCATCCTTAACGTATTCAGAAGATGGCTGCTTTATTTACGCATTTTAGTATTTTACAAGTGTGGCTACAGAGTCTTGAGCATGCAATTCAAAGCTTTTTCAATTCAAGCTCTGTCATTGGACAAGAATGGCATCAGAATGCTCACTAGAGTCTTAATAGGACTTTGTGGCTTGAACCAGCATATGAAAGTATTGGGCAGAGAAAGAATAGATAGTGTAGATTCTGCCACGAGACGGATGAAACTCCTGTTCATCTTCTCACCCAATGCTACCCCTTAATGGGCGTACAAAGCTCCATACTGGGAAGACAGATGCCACAACCAGAGGACATAAAATTTGTCGGAGCCAGGAAAGCCCTTCAATTCTTCAATGCTATCGGCCTTGGATATGATTTGTAATTAGAGGTGATCACAATAGATCAGTTGATGGTCGCAGTGATGAGGGGCTGCATATGCCCCGAATGAAGCCACCCTAATAACAATGATAATAATACGGACTCGTGCAACAGAGGATGCCATATTACAAGTATTCACTGGAGCCAATATTTGAAGATGAGCGTACCAAAATCAATTGGGATCGATCCATTATCACGGACAGGACTATTCTTGCGAATAAGCTGATATTGTGATATTGGATCGATCGCATTCGACGGTATTTCTTGTGGACGTTGCCATCCCGCATGATGAGTGTCTCGTGAAAGCCGAAACCGAGAAACGCCGGAAGTATCTCGACCTGGCGCACGAGATCAACTACGTGTGGGATGTGGCCTCCACTGAAACAATCCCAATTGTTTTGCCCTCAAATGGGTTAATTCCAGTCAGCCTAGATAACAGCTAGACGCGATTGGATTTCTGTGGCGTGTCGCTTCCAGTACAAACGCAGAAGGCGGTCCTGCTGGATACGGCACCTATTGTTCGCCGGTTGTTGAACCTGAGTCTCTGACCCCGATCGACTGTACAATTGCCGGGGAATACCGCCTCTCCCATTTAAAAATACAAAATTAATATTTTAGGCCTTGGAAGAGGCGAGAGTCTAAAATAGATATTATAATAACAATACTGCGTTATTGTGTGACGGTAGCGAAATATGAAATAGTTAACCATTGTTATGATATCATTCATTCTTAAAAAGAAGACTTATAGTTGAAAACTAACCCCAAGGACACCAATAGCGTTCCCGGAAACAATATACTCCTGGCTAGGCTCATCGAACTTCAAGTCAGTGAAAAACTCAAAATTGGGTATGGCCTCGTCAATTTCACCAGCCGGCGGCTCGTATGTCGCTTCGAGTAGGCCTGACACCACTATGTACATGCCTTTGGGCTCGTCACCTGTATTACCGGAACTTTCTGAATAATATTTTTTTATTAACTATAATATATAAAACAACCAGTCAATACTTTAATGCAGTATCATCGAACCAGTCTTAATAATCTTTCAGCAAATCAAAATATGTTGTACTCCTCGAATCGACAACATCAAAATTTTTTTAAGGCTTCTATTCTCGCTACATCCGGGTCCCGGAAAAAACAATCAAGACTTGATGCGGTCTTGAAATTCCCGGAAAAAAAACGAGACTTTCGAGACTATTTCAACATTCAAGGGCGAGGCAGTAAAAATAATATTTTAATTAGTTATAAAAAACTAATCAAATACTGAAGTTATAAAATACAAAATTATTTTAGAAACTCATATTTTCATTTTCATAGTGGTCACGTAAGAAACAAAGGGCAGTTTTAGTAGCAGTAGAATTCCTTGTGAAAGAGTTACTGCCACCTTACTTATTTCTGCCGTCAAGCAGTAATGTCAGCATTACTGTGTTCCTATTTTGAAGGGTTGGGACTTGTCAACTTATGTCTCAGGGTGACGGGCGCAATGGAAGTGCCTCTCAGATCTTTGCGATCTAAACCTCTGAGTGGCACTGCAACTGTTATGGACAGGCGCACGATCTTGCTCATGATGTCATAATATCAATATTATAAAAAAAAGGCGTTTAGTATAGTTCCAGATAGAGAGGACCTGATTTTATTACTATCATTCAACAATCGCCAAAAATTGGAGTTAGCTCTACCATCACGGCATAAATAAGAGTACGTAGGGCAACTCTCGCCTGTTCGGCGCGTAAATGTCTACACTGCACGAGGAGCACAGGGTTGTTACATTATTATTGTAGTGAACCTACCGATTATAAATATGATTTAAAAATTAAGGTGTTCATCCAGTATTTTCGTGGTACGTTGAAATGACATTTGTTAAATGCAGTAGGTATTAATACATTTTATAGCAGGATCGTGGATTGGTATCTGGATTATGGAGTATGATTATGAAATAGAAATGAAATGCTGAACAATTCCTTAAGGCATTCTTGTTCAAACTACCACAAACACAATAATAAACACCTCTACATTTGATGTCATTTTTTAAACACCGATCGACCCTTAGAGGATGGAAAAAAATTCCATAGTCCAAGGATCGACCACTTCCATTCTTTAATGAATGGCGCGTGCGACCTTTAGATGGAGTTACCATAGTTAATCTTATCGTACTATAGCTTTACTCTACAGTGTTGCCATGGCCGTGTAACTAGAATAAAGAATATTGTTGATATAGTAGATTTTTTAATAAGTCTCGAACATCTCGATATTGCAGTGACTAAAAATATCAGTTTTAAGTTTCGAAAATGACAAAAAATTGTCCAGATACTCGAAATTTTCGAGTTCGAGATTCCCGGGATGTAAGCCCTACCATGACGACGTACAATCGGTGCCCTCACTTATGTATCCACTATTTGTTTAGCACATAATACAGTTATTGGATAGTGAGGGCACCGACTGTACATGTTGTTAAGCACTCACCTCGTGATATCAGAATGTCATTAATGTTATAATTAATAATTTCCGAATTCTCCAGAAAGAAATCAGCAACTCTCTCATTACCTTGCAACCACGACACTGCTCGTAATTGGGTCTGAAATTAGAATCACACATTCCTATTAACAAATGTTGTCAGTTTAATTTCGAGAAATTACCAAAAATATAGGTTCCTTTAGGAAACTTACAAAATAATCAATAATAGCCCGATAGGTGATGCAAATATGGTACTTTTCAATAGCATTAATGGTCGTGGGAACAAATGCATTTATGTATTATATTCTCCAATATAATACATAAATATTAAATTTCCACCATTTTATCATTTTCGACCCAAACTAAGTGTATTACGACAATATATTATTCTAAACAGGTAGCAACACTAATCGAGCCGAGCTTTTCGAGCTCTCGTGATTAAGAATGAGGTTTGTACACAAGAGACTGACAGCAAAGCCAGGAATCATACATGACAAATCTATGACAAACAATCCTCGCAAATTTACGTTTAAGTTATTTCTTTCCATCGTCTAAGCGCAGTTCATTAGGCAACATTTGCGCAATGAATACTTTAGCTAGCCGATACGTCAACAGACGCTTTTCGTCAAAAATGTCGGATAACAATCAGTTAACATGTTGGCCATTAAATAGGGCCTTGAAAGTCAAGCACAGCAATCAGCTCAATTTTTTTTTAATAAAAAGCATAATAAACACACCTCTGGCGAAGATGGTGCAACCAAACTGCCTTTATGACGACACAACTGAACTTTTTCTTGGATGGCGTGAAGAAGTAGTCGATATTCCATTTCATCCAAAAAACCTACATCATAAATAGGATAACATGTAATAGAGTAATTGACACTTTTTTAAAGAAAAAACTTTACGTGCCAACATCTCGAAAGTTACCAAAATGCAAATGCATGTCTATGATAAGAAACCCTTCTTGTCATAGACAATGCATTTGGAAGTCAAAAAAATTATTTAACTACATGAAACCAAATAACCAAACGTGAATCTTTTTAACTCTCCTATTTCGATACCTCCAAAGAACACTACGCCAACTTAATTTTTTGATCATTTTCTGTTTTTATTTTGTTTTTTTGTTTTTCCCCAAAGGTCTTTTTTGTTTTTTTCAATTTTTTTTTATTTTTTGTAAAAAAATAAAAAAAAATTAAAACAGAGATGATCAAAAAAATTAAGTTGGCGTAGTGTTCATTAGAGGTACCGATTTAAGTATAAAAAATTATCGATAAAATCTCGTTTGTGGAATTTCTAAACCACTCTTCTGAAAAATGATCATTTACAGATGTGTCCATAATACCTACACCAAGAGTTCCCAATATTAAATTGAATTTTATTTTAAATATTACATACATTATTATTTTATAAATACTTTGATCATATCACCTAAATACTTTTGTATGGAAACAGGACTGAGATAATATCCCTATCAATATCACCTTCCTCCTTCAGCTGCTGTGCGTCCAAGATCATTATATTGAGTGTAGAGGTGGTGGCCTGCCGTGTCTTCACTGTGATTGCAGTCCAGGGCCTATCCCTCTGAAGCAACCCTAGTTGCCGTGTTACTGTCAACCTAGTTCAGATATTGCATTATACTTCTAGAGCGGTGGTAGCCTAGTGGAAGACCGGTTGCTTCTAAATTGAGAGGTCTATAGTTCGAACGGCATGTACATATGACATTAATTTCTAAATTGCGTACATTTGTAAAAGTTTACTAGCAATTACGGCTTTTACATGGATTTCCGCGTACCGGGAAAAATAAATCGAGAAACGGTACGGTCTCGGAAATCCCGGAAAAAACGAGACTTTCGAACGTTGCAAACTGGCAAACGTCGCGGTAAAATTTATGGTGTAACGCGTGTATTGTATATCGGAATTATACACTTGTAAATTGGAAGTATTTAATTAAGATAATATATAGGTAAGGTAAAAAAGACAATAAAAGCTTAAATACTAGGAAGCAAAACTAGGATTTTTAAATTATATGAATAAAATTGAGTCCCCGCGGCAAGGTGCCCAAGATGCTGGCAGTGTTCCCCCTTTGTATTGCTATACTAATGCGTTGGGTAAGGTAGCTGCCGGGCCCTTGGGTTTCTCAGACAGTCTATTTTTTTTTTTTTTTTTTGATAAAATTTTGTACAGATGAAAGGCACTGCGACCCCACGGGCCAAGGGTTTCAACTCCAAAGGCTGTAAATAGGTAGTCGGACCCGAGATCCTGGTACTTATTACTTTTTAATCTTTCCGCCAGCTCAGCTGCGAAGCCAGCCCTCTTGCCTGTGTGCTGGAAATGGGATGGGGCAAGTGTATCGGCACATGTGGCGTCCCACACCAGCCCGGCCCATACTCCAAGAGATGAGAGTCATTCCGTCCGGGCGTTTGGGACGCCGTGACGGAGGCCTGCAGCTATGCGAATGGTCTCGGCGCTCAGGGAGGTACCGATACTGGCAGAAGGGAAAGCGTGTAGCCGGTGGCCAGATTCCCACCTGGACGCCGCTGCCAGATGAGCTCGGTCTATTGGGGTGCAATTCATTAAGTCGTTTAAAGTCTTTTTGCACAGAATATTATCCGAGGTCCTTTGAATTTTAAGTTCGGACGGAGAATTTTCGTTGGGGCAAGCCTGGTTCCAGGCTTATCTGGAATCAATTAACCACATCACCTCGCAGTTTGTTGGCGGAAGCCTTAGGATACTGCCTACGAGGTTGACCGTGCTGTAGATTGAGGACAAAAAGGCCGGAAGGGCTATGGCTGATATACTCTTGATGCCTAGACCAACATATCTGATGGGGAGGGTAGCTTGGGTCCAGGTCCAGGTCGAACGTCCATCTCACCCACAATGGATTGAGAATGGATTGAAGAAGAGCTTTTAGGTCATAATCTATTGACATCAATTGATTATGCAATTTCCAAGCCGGACAGCAGCGAAGTACGTAAATTTTGATATTATGTTTCTGATAATGTATGTTAGTGATTTAAGTAGAGAGGTGTGATGTATACGTGCATATTTGAGGGTAGTTTATTATAAATGTTTTTTTTTAATTTTTTAAGGCTTTGGCAAACCCGTCAGCCTAAACATGAAGTTTAATTATAACGCACACACACTCAACGCACACACTCAACATAGCCCCGCACTAGAAAAACCCTGTGTCGCGGGTGCCATGGACACACACATAGACAATCACAAATTACACCCAAACTCACGAGAGAAATAAATGTAGGTCATACAAATATTTCTCCCGGCCCGGGAATCGAACCTGGGACCTCTGCGTGGCAGTCCGGCATGGTAACCGTTCGGCCATGGAGGCAGGTATAATATGGCCGCCACAAAGAGGATAGGCAATTTAAGGCGGCGTGCTTGGATTGACTCGGGATTCCTTAAAACGGGCCGATACGGGTATTTTAGTTCGAGATTCGTATAATTTCGCATTTTAATCTTCGATTAAGGTACAATAGCACTATCCTATTCCACTTTAAACTAGTAGTAAATACTATATGTATTTTTTATAGCGGTACTAAACTTACTTGAGAAGCAACCGTTTTCCCGTTTCGTTATAGCGGATGGTATTCGACGGATTAAACAAATTACCGGTCCATCTCCAGTCTGGCACTGAGCGTCTCCTGTATATGTTTATTGTCAACCAGCTGTGGCAGCAATGAGCAGACTTCCTGCTCTCCCGTCACAAATCCTTTTCCGACGTCGTAGCCAAACGCTAGTTGTATGTCAATCATTCTATCTACGTAGGCCATTATCTTTGGCACCGAGACCCTAAGTAAAAATATTACGTTCCGGTATCTGATGTTAGAAAATATGAATTATATTGACCTTAAGACTGACTTTCACGTTATAATCTTGACCATTAATCAATGGCAGTTCATTAGTAGTAGTGGTTTGGTAGCAGTAGAGCGCCTTGTGAAAGAGTTCATCCAGGGAAGTACTGCCACCTTACCTATTTCTGTCGCCAAGCAGTAATGTCAGCATTACTGTGTTCCGGTTTTGAAGGGTAATTACAAATTTAAGTGAAATTACAGTGTCAACTTATGTCTCAGGGTGTCGGGCGCAATGATAGTGCCCCTCAGATCTTTGCAATTTAAAGCTCTGATTGGCACTGACAGTGGCACGACTTGTTCGTCCCATCACTTGAAGTTATAAAAAGTTGTAACACCGAAATAACTTACCAATCATAGAAAAGTTTTATATAATTGCCGCAAAGTAACGCTTGGATTTATTATCCAAGCGTTACTTTGCGGAAATCCAAGGTAATGAAAATGGAAGCAAATTAATTATCACCCACAAGGGTATACTTTTGGTGGTGGTGTTTTTGACTATAGGCAGGCTTGTGTTATTTATTAACTTCTCATGCTCTAATATTACGTCAATATAGCCTTATGTAGTGGGAGTAACGTGCATACTTTAATCCCCAGCGAGTAAAAGTACCTTAATTTTTTAATTTACTTCGAGTGAATAAACTCAAACAGCCAGTAGTGCGCTCGATTATAGTTCCTTACCTTTTCCGCATAAACGGTGGCGCCATATTATTTTCCCGCGTTAGTGCGTTTGCTGTATCTGTGTCAAGTTTAAAAAAAAATAGCGGAAAAACTTCAGAATACTGGTTAATAATTTTGTCGTAGAGCGAAAACGATTGAAATATTTCTTTTCTCGCAGTCGAAGTGAAAAGTAGTTTTCTCCTCAAGACTACAAGCCAATATAAACCCGCAGAGTAATAGTCTAACCACCTCGGAAATATATTGGCTCATTTTAGTCCCTCGATAAAAGATATACCATTATTATTTTATGCCGGGGATGTTTGGGAAATTAACTGCATGAAAAAAATATTCAACCAAACGAAACAAAAAGCAGCTATTTCGCGGAGTATCAAATGAATTTACGTCCATTTTTATTAAAAGTTGAAACAAATAATGAGCGAGAGGCATTTTAGGCATATTTTCAAGATTATGAAGCTCGTTACGCTACCTCTTGTTTTTAAAATATGTTTTAATAATAGTCATATGGAAGGATGCGCACCTCTCATGGAAAATGACATAAGTGAAGTTACGTCAAAATGTTTATTGCATTAGATACAGAAAAATAAGCTCTCGAATTCTTGTAACTCTATCGATAATATTAGTCGATCGACTAATATATTATCTGTATCTAATGAAGCAATAAAAATGTTTGACGTAACTTCACATATGCCATTCTTCCATGAGGGGTGCCTGTTTTTAATTTTATAAGGATGTCAGCTAAAGGTACCACCACACGTATCGACACGTAGTCATTAAGCCAGTCAGAACAACTTTATCTCTATATAGGTAATAAGCGAAAGACGTCGTTTGTTTCGCTTAGGGCGATCCGAACGGATGACAAACGGGCAACGTCTTTTTCGCTCTTATGGCATGGACCACAGACCACATAAGTGGCGCGGACATAAAGCTGTTCTAACTCTCTATTATGTAAGTTGTCCCTCCGTTTTATTCTAGAAGAAATTGTCCTAATCTACGTGATGTCAATTTAATATAATACTATGTAAGCAACTAGGAACTTATTTTCTTACCTAGCCAGTTTACATAACCGTAAAAATCGAAGCATCCTCACCAACTTCGTGGCAGTCAAAATGCTGGAATTCAAGTTATCCCACTTATCCCATGGCGTTAAAGAATCTATGACATCTAATATTAGATCTGGAATTTAAATAATATTTAGTCTCATAAGATTTTTAGTCGCAGTAGAGCTCCTTGTGAAAGAGTTCGTCCAGGGAAGTACTGCCACCTTACCTATTTTTGCCGCCTAGCAGTAATGTGAGCAGTAATGCGTTCCGGTTGAGAAGGGTAAAAGTGCTGGTGAAATTATACAGGCACATGGGTCTTGTCAACTATGTCTCAGGGTGTCGGGCGTAGTGGCAGTACCCATGAGATCTTTGCGATTTAAAGCTCTGAATGGCACTGCAACTAGTATGGATAGGCGTGTCGCTTACCACCAGGCGCACTTGTTCGTCCCATCATTTGGTGTCATAAAACAATGCTTGTAATGTATTTCTTCGAACACGAACATTGATGGACGTATTGGGTACTTTTCGATATTAATTCCATAGAATTCTCAAATATGGAATTTACCTACTAAAAGTTCGCTTTTACGCGCGCTTTCTACCCCCGAGTTCGTGATGTGCCGTCAAACGGTCCTACTATTTTTTTAAATTATCTGTCTAGAAGCAGAACCACAATAATATTAAATTGCTACTTACCTCCCGTAGCAAATATAATCATGACAAAATCAAGCTTGTTCCAATGCGATTTGAAATACCCGCAAAAACCAAGTGCAATCATTTTCATCACCATCTCAAGCACGTAAATCGTGTAGAATATTCTGCAAAGGAACCGCACAAACACAAACACATTCAAATGCTATAAACCTAAACACCATAAACCAGTGAGTATGTCGTAAATATATTAACAAGAAATTAATTTGATTTTGCCCTATATTTCGACTCATCCGTAGAACAAAGGTCTACGTGCAAGACTACTTGTTCTCAAGACATAGTACATTTGGTTCGTTCTTCTTCGCTGTGGATGTCAGATTGACTGTTGTTCGATTTTATATTTCCGAAACGAAATAAAATATGAAAATTCTCAAAACACCATTCCACAGGCCTTAGTTTGAATAACGAAATTATGTATTTATCCTCTTTTCGCTGTATAATTACATCGGACTTTGTTCTTCGGATAAGTCGATTACTCCTTACCACTACTTTAGAGTTGTGTGAAACAAAGCGGCAAGGATTTCATTTGTACAGACAAACAGATGCGCTATAATCTCAGAACAGAGTACTAACAAAACCGACCTCAAAAGTTCGTGGAATTATGTTGTGTTTTTTTTTGTATGTTTGTATGTTGATAACACATACTTTGTTAACCTATTTTGATGATTATTTTTTTGTTAGAAAGAGGGTACGTCAGTAGTGATCGCATTTAAATTTGAAGAAAATATTCCACCTCTAAGGGTGTCAAACTAGGGGATGAATAAGTTTTGAGATCGGTTTTTTAATACGCTGAGAATATATTGAAATAAGTTACCGGAAAATGCGCGAAACCAGATTCATTCCCTAGTTTACCACCCTTAGAGGCGGAAAATTTTCTTCAAATTCAAATGAGACCAATACTGAGGTACCATCTTTCCAACAGAAAATAATCATCAAGAGAGTTTTCGCGTACCTTACCTACTACATACACAAAAAAAATGAAAGTCGAATTGAGAACCATCTCCTTTTTTTGAAGTCGGTTAAAAATGATCTTAAACTGTCACTTATCGGTGTTATAAATTCAAATCTATATAATATATTTGAGAAATGTTGACAGTGCATATCGACAATTAGGGGCAGGTCAAGCCGGGCAGGCCGATTTTTTGAAAAATGAATACTCGCATTAACTTAGATCATAGTTTCCCAAAGTGGTCCCGAAGAGTCCTCGGGGGACGGTAGAAGCCTCGGAAGCAATTGGGGGGGCGTTGATGCTGTCCAGGGGGTGCTACCGCATTTGAAAAAAAAACTGAACTATTTATATAAACTACACTGTATACATATATAATTTTTTCATTGAGATTTTTTGTGTTAAATTAATATAAAAAATACGTGTTTTCAATTATTTTTTGTGATTTTGCTGTTGAATTTTTTTATCTTATCTAAGTGGGCGGTGAGCCAAATAGTTTGCGAACCTATGCCTTAGATATTTAAGCTAAACTCACAAATTCAACAACTTGATTGTATAACTAGTCAATAATGTGACAGGCTGTCGCATAACTACTTCACACAATATCACCGGCGTGTTACAAAGAATCACCAAGTAGATGAACATGTCGAACCACAAATTGGTGACTATACGGTAGCAGTACTGCCGCCAAGGATTGCGAGGTACTTGGGCGTTTGCTGCTTCGGGAGTCATCATGTTTACTAGTTTACGACGGATCCACGTTGCGTGAGGCTAAAACAGAAATTGGAGAGCAGTTATATAAATTATACTTGTGCCTGCTGATCCGATCTAGTTCAATCGGTCATCTCTCAGATTACAAAACATAGGCAGATGGAGCATACGGAAAAAAAATGATGTGAAGCCGCTTTTCATTTCTTGTGTGCGTGACGAGGAGGGGCGCTGCTGTAGGGATATCTGACATCTGTAAATCTGAGTTACCTAAAAACAATTTTGGACCGCTGGAAATGGACCAGCCTGTGTGTATACGCACGCATTATTTATTCTATACAAAAGTATAAATTATTCGATGCTCCTATCACCCGTACATATTTACATAATTTAAGGAAACTCATTTCGATATAAACTGGCAACACATACTAATTTATGTCGAGGTTTTGTGTTCCGAGTGAATCTCAAAAAATATACATACATACATAAGCTCACGTTCTAGTCCCACAGGAGGGGTAGGCAGAGACCACGGAACGCCTCTTTGCTCTATCCTGACACAACTCTCGAGCCTCACATACATCAACTACCCTTTTCATACAACTCATTTTATTCTTGTCACTTCGGATACCAGCCTATAAAAATTCGTGAGGTCCGCTGGTTCGTTCCGTGGCTTAGTTGGTATAGCGTCTGGCACGGTATGCTAGAAGACGTCGTTTCGAATCCGGCCGGATTTAAAGAATTTTTCCAAGTGTTCGATCTTTGTATTAATAATCATAATTCGTTTTTTGTTTAAATTTAGCAATTTACAAAATGAAAGCATTGCTATTTTAAATGTTAAGGCACTTTTCTATACCCACTCGTCATTATTGGTTCCAGCGTTCAATAAATAATTTATTGTCCCGCTTCAATGAATAATAAAGTCACGTTTCTTTTTCAAATTTATTATTATACGATAGAAAAATATTCGAAAGACACACTTGAACTGAATTATCATAAGTAAACTAGCGTTATGGAAGTAGCAGAACAATTGGGATTATTAAAACAATATGAATTTGTAACGAATTTTAGAATTGGTTACATTTTTTTGAAGGTAAAGGTCAAGGTCTTGTCAACTTATGTCTCGGGGTGGCGGGCGGGCTGGCACTAGCCAGTCCCTCAGATCTTAGCGATTTAAAGGTCCGAGTGGCACTGCGACTGCTATGGAAAGGCGTGTCGCACGACTTGTTCATCCTCTCACTGTATATCATTTAATAATACAATAATAATAATTATTATTCATTTTCAAACTAGTTCTTACACCAATTACGAAAAGAAAAAACAGAAAGAATACTTGTCAGTTAATATGTACTTCCACCAGCATCAAAAACAGGCTCTATCGCTATCTTACCTTAGGTCGCCACAAACTCCCAAGCAGTTCTAAATTGATCGCCCCATCCTCGGAGTCGGTAGCAACCTCAACAGCCTGTACCAAAGTCCTGACACCTTCTTTGCTGATCTTTCCATGTTCGTATTGTCGCCAGTACGAAATCTTCATTGCCTTTAGTACGCGTTGATTTGCTTCTCTGAGAAAACAAGGAGATCGTTGTACCTAACCGATTAGTAAGATACATAAGGATGTTCCTATTGAGAACATCAAGAATATGCCGTCAAGTCGAGATGCATTAGATGCAGTCACAGGATGATGGAAGGTGTTACAGGCGCCCTTGTTGTAGGCGCCGTTTTTGAACCGTGTGACGCTTGTGCCGTATTTACATTCCCGTTATTCAGACCATACGATCTAAATATTAATGTGATTTACGTTGTATGTAAAGTAAATAGACAATTCGACTCATCCGTAGAATAAAGATCTATGTGCAAGACTACTTGTTCTCAGGACCATAGTACATTTCGTTTGTTCTTCTTCGCTGTGGATGTCAAATCGACCGCTGTTCGATTTTATATTTCCGAAACGAAATAAGATATATGAATTCTCAAAACACCTTTACTTAGCCTTGATTTGAATAACAAAATTATTCTCGTAACGTACTTATCCTCTTTTCGCTATATAATCACATCGGACTCTGTTCTACGGATGAGTCGAATTTTAATTTGAAATAAAACTAAAAATATAAAAGTAAAAGAAATAAATCTAATTCAAATGCAGTAGAATCAGTCGATTCAAAATAAGCTTTTGACCTATTTCTGCCGCCATGCAGTATCTAATGTGAGCATTAGTTGCTGACATTACAGGCACATGGGACTTGTCAACTTATGTCTCGGACGTAGTGGTAGTACTCCTCAGATCTTTGCGGTTTAAAGCTCTGAGCGGCACTGTAATTGTTATGGGTCGCTTACCAACAGACGCAACTCTTATACTCGTCACATTGCTTGATATCATAAAAACAATCCCGATAATAAAGAATTGCGGAATAGTGTGATATATCGTTTACAGAAATTACCTAAACATCTCAGCTAATTCCTTTTTCGTAGGCTCATTGGGTATCTCCCTCTCGCAATCTGGGCATGTGGTGTACCTGTACCCCATATAGGCATCGTCTTCGTCGTCGTCATCGCGCCCGGACATTTGCAGCTGGTACGGGTGTTTTATTGTTGTACCTTTGTAATGAGAGACCGTAATAATTAAGTTTAAAAAGTGGCGCCCAATTGGGACCACTGTAAATCCAGTAAATTAACAATGGCGTCGATTCAGGCAAATGCGACCTAAACCTATAAGTCTGTTTTTTGGCCAGTAAGAAAAGACAGAAGATTTTTTTTTAAGTTTAGTGCTGTTAAATTTGACGACTCTTTATTTCAATTTTCTTATAAGAGCCTTATAGATTATTTTTTAGGCGTCGACTAATCATTGGGCACCTCTAAATAATAGTTTCCGAAAGTGGTCTCTACCGCGAAGTGGAGGGGCCTCGGAGGCAAATGGGGGGTGTCTATGTATATAATAAACTACACTACGTCTTTTTTTTAAGTGATTGTTTGTGTTAAGTTACTATAATACGAGTTCAAATTTTTTTTATCTTGCATAAATGGGTGGTGAGCCTAAGAGTTCGGAACCCTATGCTCTAAACTAAACTTTCAGTTAGCTTGTGTTTATCCGATATGACGAAAATAATTATACCTAGATTTAGTTACATAGTAAAAAAATTGATATTGAATCCAGAAATTAGGTAACTCCTTGTGAAATAGGCTGCTAAGAAGGACTTCATAATTATATATGCAGATAATGCGTGCTGTCGTAACCAACTGCATGCAGTCGAAACTTCGACTCCACGACCTGCGCACCCAGGGCAACAATCGGCGAATACCGTACGCCGATTGGTAAGTCCTCTACAATGACAAGCATTGTAGTGTATGTGTATGTATCGATACGATAAGAACTAAAATAATATGACAAACCTACGCTACGAGAGAAGTGTAGGCATTTACGCGCCAAACAGCCCCATATCTTTCTACATTTGTTTTGATTGTAGTGACCCTATAACCTAGCACTATAACCTGTGCGCGCACAGAAACCTTATAAGTTCAGGTTCTGACCCCAGATCAGCCTGTAGGGTTATCACAGCCCTCTGACCTTGACTTCATCCGGTTCTCGAGAGGCTAGTGCCTCTGGTGAGCCGTTCCGGGTGCACGTACAGTCCCCTCACTATTTTCCAGATAGGTACTGCTGCAGGCACACTCACTTCCCGTTGCGCGTTGCACAACTAGCGATTGCCACCGCTAAGCCGTCCACTCTGAGTCGTCTTACGCGCCGAACAGGCGTAAGACGACCTCCATGGCCGATTGACTTGTACACCGGTTTTCATAGTGTCGCCATCTCTGAGGTCCCGGGTTCGAGCCCCAGCCGAGTCAATGTAGAAACTAACTTTTCAAATATTGGCTCGGGTCTGGGTGTTTGAGATAGGTACTGTAGTACAGCCTGGTTAGGATTGTACTAATTTATTTAAAGAATTGTATAAAGAATAGAAGGTTGTTGTCAAATGAACATCAAGAGAGTTCTAGACGAATTCTTGAGTTGTACATACGCAGCAAATCATTATTTATGAATATATTCCTCGTTCCTTATTAAAAAGTACCTCTTGCAACGCTGAAACCACGGTTACGCTTTGTTTTCGATTTCCATAACACAAGTGCAAGTAAGTCCTTAAAACCAATAAGTCAATAAAAACTAATAAAAAACAAAGGTCTACAACAAGCACGTACAAAAATTCGTAAGGCCCGCCAGCTCGTTCCGTGGCTTAGTTGGCGGTTGGCACGGTTTGCTGGAAACCAGCCGGATCGAAGGAACTTTTTGTAAGTGTAAATCTTTGTATTAATACTTATAACAAACTAGTGAAGCAATTTCACAAAAACTATTATACATCGTGGTGGTCAAACATCGTGACATTCAATAAAAAAACAGTTGCAAGTGTTTTAGTTACTTACTTTGGAATTAGAACAACGTATGTGATGTTGTGTAATAAAAAATATTAAAAAAGTTGTCCTACTTATTTTATTATGCTATGGTATTGTCTACTTTATGTATGTGTATTACTTCTTGAACTTGGGGTAATATACCTTCCTGTACTAGATCCCAATTTGCGTCAGCCAGAAACTTATCCATCTTTAACATAGAAACGCACCGATCCCTCGTCATCATGATGCGTTTCACGCAGTTCGTCATATTGGCTTTCTTCGCCAAGGATATGTCGGCTAGACCAAGTGTTTTGAGCACCTTATACATAGTCGTTGCATTAACTAGAAGAGAGAGTATCACAAGACCAGCTGCTTGGATGACAAAAATCTGGAAATAAATGACTAAATCCAGTAAATTTATTAATAACTGTAACTGCCTCCGTGGCCGATTGGTTACCATGCCAGACTGCCACGCAGAGGTCCCAGGTTCGATTCCTGTGTCGGAGGAAATGTTTGTATGGCCTACCTTTATTTCTCTCGTGAGATTGTACGAAATACGCTTAAAAAAGAATTAATTCCATAAGAAACAGTGTTTAAAGTATTTCTGTTCATGATCCTAATTTATATAATTATCAACAAAAATCGTTTATAAAAAATTTGCACCATGTATAGAAAAATAAAGTTAAAACTGCACAAACTATAGCAAGTACGTATTAGAAAGTCACCACACACACAATGCCACAGGCAAAATTCGTTAATAAATCGTTAAAACTCAGGTTAATTCTGAAACTCATAAAAAGACCTTTGGCTTCGACTAAGCAAAAATGACCAGTTAAGCAAGTTTTTCGTATTTACATAGGCTCAGACCTCAAAAGTCATTCATGCCATAGTCATTGCCACTTTTAGATGTGGAATATTCTCTTCAAACTTAAATGGGACCACTACTGAGATGCCCTCTTTCGAACGAAAAAAGAATCATCAAAATCGGTTCGCAAATCACAAGTCGCGCGGAGTTATCGCGTAACATACATACAAAAAAAACAGTTGAATTGAGAACCTCCTCCTTTTTTAAAAACGGTTAAAAACGAGCTTTGTCCAAGTTTAAGCTATAAACTTAAATTAAACTTTGGATTTACCGCGTAATTTGTTGCTTAAACTTAAGCAAAGTTCGTTTAGTAAAGCAAAAAACTTAGCTCACCATTGTTGCTTATTTTAAGTTAAGTTCGTTTTACCAATCGCACCTCTCATGGAAGAATGGCATAAGTGGAGTTACGTCAAAAACGTATATTCCTCCATTAGATAGGTACAGAAAAACATAACCCACATCCTCTCCGATTCTTGTAACTATCGACTAATATTAGTAGACAGAGTTACGAGAATTGAAGAGGATGTGGGTTACAATTTTCTGTATCTAATGGAGCAATAAACATTTTTGATGTAACTCCACTTATGCCATTCGTCCTAGAAGGGTGCGAAATGTCAGCCATTAGGCTGACGATGCGTCAATTGAAAGGAAGCGGCTTGTTTCACTATAGACAGTTGTTATATCAACCAGTCTAGCGTGAGACTACAACTCCTAGTTCCATGCAGCGGGTGCCTATACATTGCAAATAAAACTACTGAAAAATACCAGCAACACAGCAAGGTTTACCTCTCCAACATCAGAAATAAGCGGTGCCTGCATAACAGTAAGCGCCAGGCACAAAGATAAAGGTCCCCTCAGACCTCCCCAGGAGCATGCCAGACCGTGATGCCAGGTCATCCCATACCCAACGCGTTTCAGGACCGGCATCATTATGAAGTAAATAAGCAGTCGAGAGCAATATACAGTTGAGTATGTTACAAATATTAGAGCAACCTGTATAAAATATAGTTTGTTAGTAATGTCGATTTGGATGAAATTATAAAACAAGATTAAAGCGAAAGGGTGGCCATACACGGCCTGCTCGAGCAGTTAGCCAATGATCAACATACACGGACCGCTCTTGCAGTCATAGTCAACAGCTTGAGGCTGACATTGATAACTGCTGGAATAGTTGATAGGTACAACTGCAGCAGTTGGTATCAACTGGTCAACAAGTCACAATTTCTATTTCATTCAAATCAGTAGCAACATGGATTTTGAGGAAGAAGCACTACTACCTACTGTTACGTTTGCTCAGACGACGGGGGCGGCGTAGAATTTGCTGCTGAGAAAATGTGCGCGTGACGTGAATGAAGACTGTAGTTTGCTATGTGGTCGCAGCTTGAAGCAGTCGATTCTACCTGCTTCAAGCTGCCTGTGAGAGACGCTTACTCGGGTGTGAAACATGCATTAGGTAGTAGGTAGCCTTAATAAAACAAGGTTTGACGAAACCTGTTTATACTGGTTTATATGGCGTCATGTCCTCCGTACTTAAGGTAATACACATTCAAAATGAACACGGAGTCCCTTTCGCCTGACTCCGACTTTTCATGATATAACCACACCGATAGCCGACCATCTTCATCTACTTGGAATGGACCTGTCGGCCAATCTGAACTTTGGCAGATACATTGAATGCATGGCCAAAAATGCAGCCAGCAAGCTTGGCATACTTTCCAAGATGAGGCGTTACTTCACACCGGGACATTTGCTTCAGTTGTACCAAGCACAAGTCCTGTCGTGTATAGAGTACTGCGGCCACTTATGGGATGGCTCTGCTAAATACCAACTGGCCATCTTGGATTCAATCGACAATCGTGACAAGAGGCTTATAGGTGCCTCGGAATTAGTAGAGGCGAAGCGTGACGAGAGGCAGAGCCTTGAACACCACCGTAAAGTTGCCTGCTTATCGGTATTCTACAGGATATATCTCGGAGAGTGTGCGATGGAATTGCATATTTTGATTCCGCCTTCCCCTTTCCATCATCGGGAGACTAGACGTGGGCTGGGGTTCCACCCCTATGTTGTGGATATTCCCAGGATTCGCACGAAGCGTTTCGCATGCTACATCATCGACCTCATCGTCACTTTCCATCAGGTGAGATGGAGGTCAAATGCGCACTTATTTTTTATTTAAAAAAAATCCTTAAGTCGGACCTACGTAACAGAAAGTTCGTCGATGATTATCAATGCTATTTTATGCCCTTATTAGTAAACAGCTCAGATGTCGCTCAGATTTCGAGAAAAATCATAGGCATATTGGATGATGTCATCTCAAGTGACGAGAAGTCTATTCTTAATTGATTATTTATTATTTTAATCGTAACCTTTCTTAATTGATTATTTATTATTTTAATCATAACCTTGCATCCGATTTGTATTCGTTCCGCATCCGAGACTATACAAATCTAGAAAACTCGGACCCACTTCGGACGTTGCTTATGCACTTGTACAGATTTATTTTTTATCTATTTATATTTATATAAAAATACTAGTTGAAACGCGTTACTTCCTAGTGGAATGTGATGTTAGTATCTATTTTATGTTTGTCTGACGTATTTTTACACTCATTTACCGCACATTTCGTCATTTTTAAGTAAAATTCTTGAGCTGTTCGCGGTGCAAGTTGACCTTGAGCACTGACGGCCCGCCCGCTCGTGTAGGCCCATTGGGAGCGCTTCAATTTGCCTCACTTAGCGTGTGCGGACTATTTCTGTTTCTATGCGTTATTATTCTAAGGCATAAAATGTTTGAGTCTAAATGGTAGAAAAGTAGAATAAGGTTTATGAAGGTTGTTAATGTAAAATGGGTTACATAGGGTTAGACACATTATGTCAACATTGGACTTTATTTCAGGCAGCATTTTTGCATGCCTTTGTCACCAAAATTGAACAGTTTTCCAAATTAAAAATTAATTTTCCTCTCCTCAAGTGACTTTGATCATACTTTCTCTGGACGCTTCATTTATAAATACAGGCCCTAGATTCGAAAGATTGACTACATGTTACGGTATTTTAAAAAACTGTTGTCTTCTACTAACAACATAAAATTAAGGTCAAAATCTGTCAAATCATTTTAAGTACATAAATGCAAATATCGTACCTGTTTAGCGGTCATCATATAACTGATCTTCTCAAAAATTACAACACCAACCATTGTAAACAATAACGTGTTAGCAACATGGGTTAAAATATGCCAAAAGTGTGAAACAACCACCTCAATATCCCCCGCTATAGTACTCTTTTGATTACTAACTAACACTCCTGTTATAACAGTCCCTAATAACCCAGACACATAGAGAAACTTTTCACCAACGTAATACGTCAAATACGCTCCGGATAAAGTAACCATTATAGCACACAACATGTCATTATACATCAACGATAACAACCCAGATGTCACGTTTCCCATAAATATACCAAGAAGTATACCTCCACCAGCAAAACGTAATAGCATCAACGAAACTTGAGACGCTTCTGTGATCGCTAGAGCTAAGTATCCAAAGACAGCAGTAAACGTTATCATTACCGACGCGTCTCCAATAACACCTTCTCCCATTAATAAAACTGCCAAATATTTCCCCTTTGATATCTCTCGCAACTGCTTGACAACTTCCATCGGATACACAGGTGAGCATACGACACCAAACAGTAAGGCAGTGCCAAAATTCCACGAAGACTCAATCAAATAATACCCCATAAAAGCTACCATGAGAGAAGTCAAAAGCGTACCAGGTACGGATACCAAGAAGACTTGTGGTAAACTTTTGAAAAACGTATGCGCGTCTACACTATAAGCTGTATGAAACTCGATAATAGGCAAAAATATTAACAGTAATAAATCGACGTCGACATAGCAAGCTTGAACGAACGGTTTAAAATCTGGATAGTGGTACGTACAAAAACCAGCTAGACCTCCAATGCAAAACATGACAACTCGATATGGAAGACAACGACTGGTCCACAGCATTAAACTTCTAATCACAACACCAATAAGTAAAGTAGTGAAGACGAATAATAGGGATAAATGTGGAGGATATGCCAGACTAGGCCGATCAGGATTGTTAAACAAAGTATCATTGTCTACACCAGTTCCATTATCTGTAACATTTGGATTTATTTCCGTAGGTCTCTCTTGTCCGTTTATTGGTATAAAAATTAATAATAGTAAATATAAATACGGTGACATTTTTAAGGATTGATTGGCATGGCCTTACGGAATTTAGTTAGACGTTGCTAGTAGTAATTAATCGTAGTTAGGCGTTTTATTGACACCCGACGTGTATCGAAGTGTCTGCTTGTATATCGTGTGTGGTATCATAGCTCCCAAACGGCTAAACTGTTTGCCTTTTATTGAATAACATTAAAAAAAAAAGATCTCAAAATTTCGGGGAATTACATCTATTTGCCAAGTTTTATTGAAATAGGTTGCCGGAAAGTTGCGCGAAACCGGATTCATCCCCTAGTTTGCCATCCTTCAAATTTAAATGGGACGACTACTGAAGTATCCTCTTTCCAAGAAAAAATATCATCAAAATCGGTTCACAAATAACATAAAAAAATACAGTCCATTTGAGAACTTCCTTCTGTTTTTAAAGTCGGTTAAAAAGAAGTGCATAATTATTTGACCTCAATCTCATCTGATGGAAAGTGATGAAGAGGTCGACGATGGAACACGCATAACTAAATAATGCCTATTCAGTCTCGCCTTGAAAAGGCCCAAGTTACACCATTCAGGAGAACAAGTCTGCAGGCAGAAAATTCCACTTCGTTCGCCATACGAATGTGTGTGGAAGCGAAAACGTCGTGCGAGTCGATGCTACCTGCGCTAATTTTGCATAGGTCGACTGGCAAGACCACTGACTTTATTTCAGAATTTTTTTTTACAAACCAAATTAAAGCCATTCAAAAAATGTATATCGTACAGTATACATGTTCTATGTAGTTCCGTGGATACATTGACTTACAAATAATTGGACGACTGGTCTAATACAAAAACCACGAAAAAATGTCCCAAGTCAACCTATTTAAACGTAGTGACATGTAAAGGAATATTAAAAAGCTAAAACGAGATTGAATTTAAATTGTAATGTCATCGCAGTACTGTCTAAGTTTTCCTTGCTTCGCTGTCAGTCGAACAAACGAAGACTAAAGCGTGAATCACGCTCTGTATACGATTTTAACGCCCTATAAGTTCGGACACTTTTTAGCGCGGACCTGACGTCCATATAATTGTAAGTCAATGCGTGGATATAAAAAAAATAATGGTATATGTAAAGCACCTATTCAATACAGCGGTTTTCTTGTAAAATTTCGAGTATGTGTTTTTTTTTTTATTTAAGCACACTATTCAATTTATGAGTAAGTGTTGGTCAGTTCAATACTCACCAATTTCATTTTTTTACAACGTGCTTATGTTTTAAGTCCCGCCATCTATTTCCTAAACAAATTAAATTGTCAATGTGAATAATAATTAAACGATTTTGTAAGACCAATTTAGTACGGGAAAATCTTTAATTCAGCTGACGTAGTATTGAATCTTTATATAGGGATCTCAGTCATAAATAGTACAGTTATTGCATACACGCAAAATAGGCGCACAGAACGTCGAGAGCAGACGCCAGACCGTTACACCACACCATACCATCTATTGCCCGAAAACCTGACTTTGGGGATATTCAAGGCGGCGGCGGGATATAAGCGGTTTTCTTTTATATCTTATTTACTTAGTTTGTTTTATTATTAATGAAAATCAGCGTAATTGAAATTTTTTATTACCAAAAATTTTTAGGTGCCAATATTTCGGAAGTTACCGAAATGCAAGCAGTGGCAATTGTAAGCAGTAGAGCTCCTTGTGAAAGAGTTCGTCCAGGGAAGTACTGCCTTACCTATTTCTGCCGCCAAGCAGTAATGTTAACATTACTGTGTTCCGGTTTTGAAGGGTAAGGGTGCTGGTAAAATTACAGGCACATGGACCTTTTCAACTTATGTCTCAGGGTGACGGGCGCAGTGGCAGTGCCCCTCAGATCTTTGCGATTTGAAGCTCTGAGTGGCACTGCAACTGTTATGGACAGGCGTGTAGCATAGCATCAGGCACACGACTAGTTCGCCCCGTCACTTCATATTATAAATAAAAAATAAAAAGATGCGTTAGTTATGACAAGGAGGGCAGATCAGATGACATCGCACCTAAATTCGTAAACCTCACACCTCAATTAATGAGCATTTTTAGTAGGCACATGTTATTATGACTAGATATAATTGTATGACTTCGTATAATTATACCTTTACTTAATTTATTTTATAAGTAAAAAAGGGTCTAGAAATAATATTTTAAGCTTTAATTATTCGATATTGCGTTTGAAGAGTAAAAAAGGGATTTCGTCCAAAAAAAGAAGTTACAATTATACAAGGTTTTCAAATTTTGTCGACACATTGTGACCAAGCGTACAGTTATTATTTAAAAAAGCAGGTTTCGTTATTAACTCCTTCATCGAACCATTCAATGTAATTTTAATACTTTGTCAAAAACCATTTTTATTTGATTAAATAAAAGCCTTAAATATAAATTACAAACATCAATATTAATTAAATAAATTAATTGTCAGTTCTATTACTAATCTCTTAACATGATGTTCGTTCAAAAATTCTATACAATTATTTCAACCTTTTTGCGTTTCATCGACTGGTATGAAAAGTAGGAACTTAGGTTATTGGTACTTGTTTGTTATATTATTTACTTGAAGGGAACAAAAGCCTAACACCTTTTATTTTATTTGGACACATTGTATAAGGTTCAAACTTTTGAGGCGTTTTACGAGGCGACCTGCGTGCCGTAAATTGTTTTGTATCGTTTGAATTTGCATATTCTTCATTTGAATTGTCATTTTTTTTATTTGAGATATCATTTTGTTGATTGACATTTTCAGTATGTTTATTATGTTTCCTGGGACTACTGCGTTCTATTTTCAAAATCACGTTTACTTTATTTATATTCTCATTTTGTTTATGCTTCGTTGGACTCGGGCGTTCTTTGTTTAAATTGTCATTTTGTTTATGCTTTGTTGGACTCGGACGTTCTTTGTTTAAATTGTCATTTTGTTTATGCTTCGTTGGACTCGGACGTTCTTTGTTTAAATTGTCATTTTGTTTATGCTTCGTTGGACTCGGACGTTCTTTGTTTAAATTCTGATTTTGTACGTTTTTATCGACGGTTTGCAACTTTTTTAATTGTTTATATGCGTTTTCTAGGACTCTTTTCTTCCAGTCTTCGTAATTTTCCATTTGTGGTTCTGTGGCATCTTCTTTCTTGGCTGCTATGTCAACGTCCATGTTTTCTATGTCTTCTTTATCTATAAAGATAACATATAAATATGGAGACATAATCATAATTACACACAGTGTCAAAAATATCAAAAAATCCCGACCATATTATTTGAACAATTAAAATTTATTTTTCTATTACAATTGTTTGGTTGGTACTGTCACCAGTGAATATATAATTTTGTAATACGTGTATATTCTACTATGAGGTAACACAGCGTGCGCGAAGGTGACGAGGGAGGTTTTGTTACAAGAAGATTTTGTTAGGAAAGTATGAGCGAGAGAGATGCGTGTATGACGATGAATGAGAAAGGCGATAACAATATGATTGGGTATTTTATTATAAATTTGGCTTGATCTGTATGGACCTTAAATATTTCCACTTTTTTACATATTTACATTGACAAGCTGCGAATTATCAAAGCTACCTTAATTTGTAGTGGTAACAAAAAAATTTACTAGATGGCGCTGTGCAGACAAATTTTTATGGATAGTGTCGGCCAGTGAGTATAGTCAGCTACTCTTTTATTTTGTATGATCGAGCACGACTGGGCGCGACGCGCAAAAGACGCGACATAAAATGCGACATACTGCTATTCTCGCATAGAATATGTCGCACTTTATATCGCGCCCTGTCATGCTAGCCCTACATGATGTTGCAGCGCGTGCGGAAGAAAGAGGAAGGGGCACGACCGTTCTCTCGTTCAGCTAACGTTCACCGGACTTGTCATGCCCATGTTAATTTTACCTATTTGTGAACTTATGAAAATTTTACAATAAATTAAGTGCATGTACTTTACACGGACTTGGAGTCTCATTACTCACCACATCACCCTTTCAAAAGTGCAAAAGCTAAGAAGTGGCTACGTCGCACGGTGATTCACGCTCCATACTAAGGCGGTCATAAATACGTAACTCCGAAATTATTATTATTTTTTTATTTTATTACGTTAAAATATGATTAGGTAAACGTAAATTAATAAAATTATACATTTTAAAAAATATTTGACAATATTTAGGTGTAAAAATGTCTCGCAGTAATTTTGTTTTTAGACGATGTATCTAAAACATTTTATACTGCGACTTTTAATGGTAAAACTGTGTAAATAATGATTATTTGTATTAACAATAACCACAAATGAATAAATTAAAACAATAAAAATACATAAAAAAGTTCATTTTACAAAATACAAACAAAACACAAATTATACCAAAATACATTAAATCTCAACAATATTAACTTTAAATACATAACAAGTCTAATACAGCTTTTGACAGTACACCTTTTTTTTTAACAGGTAACTTTCGTAGACCTGTTATGAAGGGATCTGAATGAAGAAGCAGCCTATTTACTAAATCTGTGTTGGTCACAATGCGACTCATTTTACGCGTATGATTTTTTCTAAAAGACTTGATGTATTTGTTAGTCGCTTCAGCTGCTTCTTCAGACAACTCTCCGATTGACAACAAACCGTAATCTATAACATTAGCACCATGAATTAGAACTTTGTGAACGGAAGCAGGCATGTTATACCACGGATACTCGGCAACTAACTGCCGAGCCGTCTCTAAAGCGAACTCTTCGAAGTTCGTCTTATTAATATTATATCCCGAATTTAAACATTGAAGGATGATCGAGCAACGATCTAGGAGATCCTTCTTGATCCCAGTAATTTCAGTGGAAATTTCTGAATTCGAGAAAAACCGCCTGGCTGTATTACCATCGTTTGATGTTCCGCTTCCGCCACTTTAGGCTTATCCACTATAAGCCCTAATCTTTCTCTAAATTGAGTCTGAACATATGATTTTTTTGCAGCAACAAGCATTTTGTCATTAGCGGACCTAGCTTGCCATTTCCTAACATCTAACTTGTACGCGACATGAACAAAATATTCAAAAAAACGTATTAACGCGTGAAGAGGTGATAAACCAAATTCATATTTACTCTCATCGACTTCCTTATTTAAACATTCGTCAATTTTGTTCATTTCACTGGGCAAGGCGTTACAAATAAAACATTTTGATGAAGAAACACCACTAAGTGCATTACACACTTTACCATCTACCATAGTAAGTTGCAAACAATGAGTAATGCGATATTCGCGATCTTCTTCCTTGAAAACAGTAGGCTGCAAGTTCCTTATTTTATCTTTAAAATGAGCTTCTTCCTCAACTGACACTGCAGTCGATTCCTTCAAATATCGGAGGCGTATAGGACGACAGTATCGAGTTGATGAAGGACGAGGATTTTTCCACAAAACTACTGAATTTTCTTTGTTATCTGTTGTCAAAACAAGCTGAAGTGGCACATACGAAGTAACAAACAGGCTACTGTCTTCAAGAGTGGAGTCAGAAAAACACTGTTTATATTCTGAATGCCCTGTACTGCCATCGAAACCCCATTTCCCTATCAAAGATATCTTATCTAGAGACTCATTAGGTACACTATCCAAAACATCTTTTTGAGACTTGAGAATCCGATTGGCAGTATGATCTAATAAACTTTGAAGTTCGACTTCGGCGGATGATTCTGTAACAGTAATATCTGAAGGATAACAGTGTTTTTTAGATTCCACGACACTTTGGTAAGATGGGAAAATGGTTTTTGAAAACTTATTGTCTATAAATTTCTTTACTAATATATATTGATGTCGAGTTAACTGAGCTTCAACAATGAGCGATAAAACTTCGCTAGAATCGATTTCAGGACAAGACAAGCTATCGGACGCATTGAGCAATGACTGTACAAGAGAAGGGTCTTGGTTAGACAAACTAGCCAATCTTCTCCTTTTTGTACGTTTACTGGTGTCGTCAAAGTTAATTCTCGGACGGCCATGCGATGAAGAAGTTGATGGTTTAACTTCGTCAAAGCTCTGAGATACACGTAACTCAGTTCGCTGTACATCAATATTTTCAACGACATGCAGCCAATCTGAATATTTTTCTAAGAATTTAGATCTAGTACGATTCGACTTTGCCCAGTAGTGGGAAATTCGTTTACAAATATTCTTAATTTTAAGGCTTAAAGTCTCTAAATCAATATTTTCGATGTCGTCAGAAAGGGATGATGTTTCGGTCAAAGTGCTCAGGACGTGTTGCATTTTTTCATTTGGATTACCCAGTTTAGAGTGCCAAATATCAAAAATTGTCATCCTCGATACAGAACATTTGAAAAATGTACCTAAAACAATATGAAAGCTGAACTTAAAAAAAAATTAAAAATTCAATACTATGGACATGCATACTTTGACACCCCTTTAAGCCAAGAAGAGGCAGCAAGATGCAAATGAAACTTATAGCTCTTAATAAGGACATACTCCTTATTCAAAAACCATATACCTCAGGTGCAGCTCAGCGCAGCCAAAAGTTGTAGGTCTAAAGGAAATTAAGTTATGCCAAAAATTTTCACCAAAAAACTGCCTTCAATAAAAAAATTATATAAAAAAAAGTATGCATAAAAAAAATTAAAAAAAATTGATAATAAAAGTACATACCATGCTCTTGGATCTCCATGCTTTCACAACACGTAAACACTTGATTTGGAATAGTGACACTCAAAAACAAAGTGATTAAGTTTCGATGACTCACACGTGGTGATAATTAGTCTCGCGATGCGCTCACTTCCGATGCACAAAAGTGAATGATAACGTGACCTAATTACATTGATATTTATAGTTTTTGGAAGCTTGTTAACTAGTTACTAACTTAGTGAGTTGATCTAACCGGGATAAGCCAATGATTTTTTTTGATTTATGGCCTATGGGGGAATCACAGTGCGTCGCCGGTACGCGATCTTACATAGCGTCATGACACATCGCCCTCTTATTTTTCATACCTACTGCCAGGAATAATTATAAAAAAATCATAACTTATTGACTCATACACTTACCGGCAATAGCATTCTTAACACTTCGTCCTTTCCCCTTTTTTGTAGTAGCAGCGAAATGTTCGTCGACGAACTTTGTCCATTCCGAATCCATTTTCGACCACTGTGCAGGCTTAAGACGGGATTTTTCAAGCAGTTTGCTTTTTGACACCTTTACTTTGCCAATCCTGTTAATGAAATTGTACAATTAACAAAATTGAAACACTATTGATCACCACGACTTGTAGGGCTAGCTTGAGCGATATAGCTACATAGGGCGCACTGTAAGTTTCCGGAACTGGCCACTTACATAAACAATATTTCATAATTACAACATTTTAAAATGGAACTCTTTGGCTGTAGAATACAGATTGTTTCATCTGTCTGTCAATTGTTTTTACATTGTGGCGTCATTTTAGAAATTGGACATAGTTACGCAAACTAGAACCAAACCACAAAATGTCACTTTCAAAATAATTAGTATTTTGTAAAAACAGTGTGAAGAAATAAATAGGCAAATTATTTGAGACAAGCAACGTGAGTTGTGTAGCATTGAGAATGATATAGGAAAACTGTTATATTATATAGCAATAAATAGAAAACATTATGTATCTTTTTATTTAGTTAACGAGAACCATGTTCTAGTTTTCGTAATGAAAACGCTAAAGATCTACAATTTGACTGAGGCTCAAAAAACGGATCGCATCACTTGGTGCAATGCTATGCTTACCAGATTCAACGAAGGGGCGTCAAATTTGGTGTGGGACATAGTAACAAGTGACGAAACATGGATTTATAGTTACGATCCCAAAACAAAGCAGCAATCGAGCGTATCTTGAAAGCGTAACGTCTTTCAAGATGAGCCGAAACCAACCAAAGTGGCGCGCGTGCAAAGTGCCTCTAAGCGGATGATTGCTTCTTTTTTTTAATAAAACTGGACAAGTGGCTACTGTTGCTTTGGAGAATCGTTGTACCGTGAATAGTGATTGGTACACGACCATTTGTTTATTGACAAACTCTGTAAAAATAAACGTAAACGCCGTATCATCTTGCACCACGTTAATGCCAGTTTTTGAAGGTGAACAACGTTCAAAAGAAAGTCCCGACCTGGCACCTTGTGACTTTTATTTATTTCCAAAAATTAAGAACCAGTTACGCGGTCAACGATTTTCATCACCTGAAGAGGCTGTCGAAGAGTATGTAAAATATGTTTCAGAGATTGTCACGGAGGAGTGGTATAAATGTTTTCAAAATTGGTTCTTTCGTATGAAAAAGTGCATTAACGCTAACGGAGAATATTTTGAAAAACAAATAAATTCATTTGTGACCATTTATAGTATTTTTTTTTATTCATTCCGGAAACTTATAGTGCGCCCAACGTATTCTCGCATAGAGAGTACCAATATCTCGCACGTCTATTTCGCTCTCGCGCAAGTGCCCTTTCGTGCTAGACCTACATGTCAGAGACATAAATTCGCTGCTTTTAACTGCCTCTGTGGCCGAATGGTTACCATACCGGACTGCGACGCAGAGGTCCTAGGTTCGATTCGCGGGCCGGGAGAAATATTTGTAAGGCCTACATTTATTTCTCTCATGAGTTTGGGTGAAATTTGTGGTTGTCTATGTGTGTGTGTGTGTGTTCATGGCACCCGCGACTCAGGGTTTCCCTAGTGCGGGGCTATATTGAGTGTGTGGGTTGTTAATATTTTAAATAAATAAATATTAGACAACATCACAAATGTTGCTCTGATCCCAAAGTGAGTAACTAAAACATTTGTGTTGTGGAAATCTTAAACAACGACGGTACCATAAACACCCAGACCTAACCCAAACCCCTCGAGACCAGAAAAGACCCCTAGTTTACTAACTAGCTAACAGTTGTTTGTCGATAGTGTTAGTGACAGAATTGTGTACGTAATTAATAGATTCAGGCGTTACTTTGCGGAAGTCCATGCTAATAAAAATGGAAATAAATTAATTTGCTACTCCGCGAACCCAGTGAAGGTTAAATCGTGCAAAATAGCTGCGCTTGCGTTGAATATTTTTTCATGCAGTTAATTATTACACCCTCCCTCCGCATAAAATTAAATTAGTGTTATTTCTTTTATTATTTTACGAAGGCAAAGGCGTATCACTGGCGGAGGGCTTGGCCCGGACGCCCGCCGTACCCTGGTCTTGCCGTCGAGCCCGTAGTCTCTCCGGAAAACCCTATCTCTCGGGTAGGTAGATAGGGACAATCCATAACAGTTGCAGTGCCACTCAGAGCTTTAAATCGCAAAGATCTGAGGGGCACTGCCACTGCGCCCGTCACCCTGAGACATAAGACGTAAGGCCACATCGATCGTTAGCAATTGATCAAATGACTAAGCCATTCCACGGAGACTCAACTGCCATTACTAATTTTCATAGTAACAAATATTATCATAATTGCAATGTAGTGTCAATGGAATTACAATGAATTGATTTCCAGAGCAAAGTATGTGATGTTATCGAATATTTTATATTTATTTATTTAAAGTAACAAGAAATAAATAAAAAAATACAGATTTTAAGACTTTCGTGGTTATTCACTAAATGATTATCACTAGTAACAGGTTTCTTACCACGGTATAACTTCTTTTTATTTTCCCGATATTTCGGTTGCACGCTCCATGGTCACGGGTTGACTGAGAGTCAACCCGTGACCATGGAGCGTGCAACCGTTCCGACTTTCCGTTCCGACTAGGAAAAAAATACAACTTACCGACAAGCCTGATAAACTGCCATACAGACATACTGTGGTAAATTCAGGTCAAGTTCCTGAAATAAATAAATGACATACCTAATGAGTAAATTCAGAATAAGCATCTTAAGGTTGAAGTCGCGCATGAGATGAATATTTGGTACCACTTTTGGTAATTGTCATTTCGCTACACGAATTTGACTAGAACAGCACATTTCGATTTGTTAGGCTTTCGCTACACAATCAAATTCAAACAAACCAACGTTTCGGACCCTTTACAGGTCTCATGGTTGCCGCTCACTGAGATGATAGGAGTAACCTGTAACTCTAGCGGCACGCCAGTCCACAGTATTTATATAGCCATATTGGCTGAGATGCTTAAGCCTTCAGGCAGTTATGTAATATTGAGCCAATTTCTTATTTTGCACTAATTTTCGGTTTTAACAACTTGTTTACCGTAGCGTCTTCTGTGAGAAATCTATGAAAATTTTTATTCATTCAACCGGATTTACAGCCACCAGCGACTGACTAGAGATGTCGGTTTAATAATTGTAATACTAAGTTTATTGAATATCACGATGTTCTACAAACATGATATTCAATTATTTTTTTTTTCTTTACTCCACTAGTTTGTTATAATTATTCATGATTCATAAAGAAACTAAGAAAAGACCCTTCTCCCGGTCGAGGTCAGAAAGTCGCCTTCGGTCCGGGATTTCAAGGGTGCTCTTTTGAAGTTTTGGGACTGTTCAGACTCCACATGTTAGAGCTTATGAAATATTTATTTACATACTTATGATATATTTATTAAATTTTTATTGAATTGATATTCAATTATTTTTTGTGAAATTACTCCACTAGTTTGTTATAATTATATACAAAGATCGAACACTCAGAAAAAATTCCTTCGATCCGGTCGGAATCGAACCGACGTCTTCTTGCATACCGTGCCAGACGCTATACCAAATAAGCAACGGGACGAACCAACGGACCACACGAATTTTTCAATGTGCTTGCGTCGTGTCTTTGTATTTGGTTTTTCAACGACTTTTTAGTCGTAGCGCCATCTATAAGAAATCTATGAAAGATTTATCATATATATATTTGACATATTTGTTTATAGTTTTATTTTATGCGTTCATTTTATTATACATTTTATGTATTAATGTATCAACATTACTGAACCACGTGTACGAACTTTCCTCTCAGATTTTCAAAGGTTAGTTGGAAGAAATCTCTTAATGGAATAAGCTCGCCTTTGTACACAAATATTTAAATTGTTTCTGAAAATTAAATGTAGTGAAACTTAATTAACTTTAAATTAAAATCACACTATCAATTATAAAGTACGGCAAAAAATTCTAGAAAAAATATGGTATACGTATATAAGACAAATATATAGTCGTGGAACTTGTTAAAACAAGTAGGGGGCACTCAACAGGTCTTCACACCATTATATTTTGTTTCTTAGGGTGTACCAAATAAGAATACATATAGAATACTAAGAAACAAAATTACTCTTACCATTTTAACTTTACTCCGATATGAATCAAGTATCTTGTCAGCAAGTTCTTGCATCCCGCACTGAAGTAATACACACAGCAGTGCTGTGGTTAGCTTGTCGCTGTTCAGTTCTAGCAGGTTCTCTACTACCTTTTTGCTGTTGACATATAGTGTAGACTTGAGACCGGAACATTTTATTGCCAACTTCTGGAATAAGATTTTTAATACAATTACAGTTATGAGGGCACAGGTTGATCACTAATAGACCAAATGATTAAGTGGTGTCAGTACATCCACTACCAATTTCTAGATGGAAACTCTTCTCCATCACTGGTAACTTCTCCAACCGTAGTCTGTCGAATGGAACCTATCAGGGCGCGGTTATTTGCACAGGCTGGTTTTCCATTCATTTAATGTTGGGTGGTTTCAATCCGTTTTGTCGGAGACATTTCGTAGTGCCCTAAAGATTTTGTATACATATTCGGTTAGGCAGTATTTTGATTTATCTGTCTGGATTTTATTAAGTGTTTTCTTTAGGTATAGTTTTTTGAATGGGGCTTTAATCGTTATTGAACATGTCATGTTCAATAACGATCAAACAAAGAGTAAACAAATAAAGAAACAAATAAAAAAAAAATAAAAAAAAAGAGTAACAAATAAAGAGTAAAAAAAACCAAGCCTTATAGATTTTAAAACTGTCATGGTTATAATGTTGTAATACTGATTGTTATAAATATTATGATGTTTTACAAGCATGATATTCATTTATTTCTTGTGCAATCACTTTAATTTAAAGGATTTTTTCTGTATATTCGATTTTTGTATTAATAATTAATTTCATGGTTATTCACTAAATTATTATGAACCAATTACAAGTACTTTTTCATGGTATAATTACTTGTTATATTTAGTGAATATTTCAGAAGGGTTGAGACAGTTGGTAATGAAAATAAATGCAATATTTTTATTACTAAATAGTCTATATGACAATAGGGGTATCTAGATAAAATATGTTTCTCGTGCAAAGCAGAGAGTGTACTTGCTGGGATCTGAAGCATGAAATTATATTTAGCGCATTTGAATGTACACCGCTTAGCGGTTTTCAATATAGTTTACTGGGTCTAAGGAGGTTATAACCCTATTTTTAAGAAATAAAACACAAAACCTGAATTTACTTATCATGCTCAAGTTTTAAAAACTTATACTTAACCCTTGGGATTCAACAAACTGAGCTGAATAGTTTTCCACATAAAGGCAACCCGATGTTGAAAGGGTATGCCTGACGTGCAAAAATATATCAAAAAATGAACTGCTTATGGTCTCACATAAGACCGATTGATGTTGGTAAAAAGAAAAAAAATTACTTAACCCGAAACACTATTAGGAAGATGTTATTTTTAAACTAACTCATACTTTTAAAGAACACTTAGGCGTTTGAGCGGTTACATACGGTGACTTTTAGCAGCAGTACTAACGCGCTTTTGTCAATGATGCAATCATGCAAATGCGTGTGTATAAAGGTAGATGGTTGCACCATTGATCAAACGCGGGCTAAATAAATCCACCCCCGGGCCTGCAAGGGGCGCGCGGGGTGTTGGGGGGTCACGCGAATGACGGAATTCGCGATTCTCGCCGCGCGCGCTTTGGGCTATTCTGATTAGTTCTTCGTATCACTACCAGCAACGACAGCGGAACGAATTGTGCGCGCGAGTACCTACTTTTTCTTTAATACAATAAGTGTATTACAGTTCGCTAGTTTTATTCAACTGGATACCCCGTGTAAGCGATAGGGCTCTAGTTCCCACTAGTAGACAATTAGTGACTGCTTCGTGACTGAATCGCTGAAGATACGTTGCTAAAAGTCAGTGTGTAACCGCTTAATAGTTTTAAAAAGCACCTTCCTAATATTTAGTGTTTCGAGCCGCACTTAAAAGCTTGGCGGGCTCGCGGATTTGAGTATGGATGTATTAGAGGAAATGAAAAGCAGGTGGGCCATTCTTTTTTTCTATCGACAATCTAATACTAGTTTAAAAGGTGTTGATAAAAAATTACAATTTGATCAAAAATATGTTTTAGGGTTAATGTCCAATGATTATCTATAAATAAACTCTGCATCCATGTTTTACTCAATTCACTCTGAAAAATTGAAAGATGGTAACAAAAATTAAACACCTTGGTCATGAAATTGATTTGTTTTTTTTAAGCCAAGCAATATCTTTTTTTTTAAATATTATTATCCTTAAAACTCGAAAACTAAAAATTATTCTTGGCTACCTTCACATTAATACAATCACGTCATTTAAATCAGAAAAGGTTACTTAATAGCACTCTGTCACATTTCTTCATATCACTACCAGTTTTTTTTATATCATGTTATTAACAAGGAAAAATTTAATGAAACGTTGGTTACCGCGTTCAATATAAACTAACTAATAATTAAATACTTAATTTTAATACATATATATGAAATGTTGAACACAAATACTTTAGACTCTTGCACAGGTGACACATTTGTGACAAAGTAGTAGTAAAGTGACAGTGTGGCAATTTTTTTGTAATGTTGCATTTGATAGAACATCATATTTTTGGTTGCTTCATTATCATTTCTATGTTTGCTTTCATTGTCCTTGTCACTGCTTTTTGAACTATTTAATGTTTTGTCTTTGTTATTCTTTTGATTAAGTCTTTTTTTTATATTTCTGTAGTTTTCTCTGTGATTCTAGTAATTGGTGTTTTAGCTGAACATTTTCCACTTGCGCTAGCTCTGGACGACGTTGGAGTCGATTCACGAGATTGAGGACTTAAAAGGATTTAAAGGATGTAACATCGGACTTGAAGCGAGGGCGTAGAAGCAGGAGTGTTCAATAAAACATTTCTTAAAGCTATCTGTTTTTCTCTTCTCTTCTTGTTCCTAATTTGCCATTTTCGTTTTATTAATCTGTGCTCTACTGTTGTCATGTCTTTAACAAGTCTTTTCCGAGCATGACATTGCTCTGAATCTTTTTGTTGGATTTGTTGAGGTTGAGGTTGATTTTCCTGTTTTTCACTACAACGTCGTCGCTGCCTCTCAACTGCAGAGTGGCAATTTTTCTGTTTAGGTACCTGAAATGAGTAAAACAATATTTAATTTGATATTCAGCATGTGAAAACAATCAAAAATATTTATAAAAAATAACACTCATACAATATATACATACATATAAATATATATATACCGTGACTGAGTTGTAAAAAAGCGACGTTTGCAATTTTAAGGCATTACCTTATTACAATTTGGAACTAAAGTCCAGCCTATATAAAAGAATTGCCAGGCAACCCCATAGTTACAAGTAACTACTAAAATAATATGAATATTTTAAAGGTTTAACTTACGTGACCGAGTGGTTGCTGAATAAGCTGAAGCTGAATGTAGCTGGGTGCAAGTTGCGGTCCGAGGAGAAGAGAATCGTACGGGTCTGTAGCGCTCAAGGTTAAAATCGCGTATTTCGAAGCAGGTGTTTTAAATGCATGTGACAAAAGATAGCTACAAAATTATTCATAACCAGAGACACAAGTAAAAAACTTTCTAATTTAAAATATTTGATTTAAAATATTGTTTTGAGTTGTCATTATTAATTTACAATATATGCGAAGTTCAATAATGTTTTTAAAATGAGTCAAGCCATAACTTTTTTTTGTTCGGAAAGCGGTTTATAAACGCACGCTGCGCTGAGGGACACGTTTTATTTATATGGATTTCACCGCTTCACATTTTTTTTAGTACAATGTCGTAATATTTTTGCTCTATTAATAAATAACTTCGAGTGAAATTTTTAGAAGTCCCATAGGTCATGTTATTAACAAGAACATAAGAATAAAAAAGCAATAAAAAACAGTAATTACAACTATTATTTTTGTTTAGCTTTGGGGGAGACAAACCATTGTCAATAGAAAAAAAAAATATCCCACGTAAATTTCAGTGTTAAATTGCTAACATGATTCTTACCAAATCCACATCAGAATTGAAGAGTGATGCAGCTAAATCCAAACAAATGACGACTCTAGCTGAGTCGCTGATGTTGCTGGCTGCTGACTTTGATTGTAGAAGACGTTCAAACTCCGCTGCTTTGCTGTGAAATTCATTTTATAAATGCTGTCAGTCCACGAAATGAAAGTTTTTTATTTTCATTTTCTGTTCATATGTTTTAACATTTTGTAGGGAAAGATCGAGGGGAAGAGGGGAAAAGGTCGACCTAGGTGCAGTTACATAGACCAAATAAAGGAAAACGCCGGTGTCGTGTCGTATAAGGAGGTCAAGGAGCTGGCTTGTAGGAGAGGGGACTGGAAGAGGCTCCACCCACAAGAGTATAACTCTTAAGTTTGATGATGATAATGATTTGTTTTAAATTTTTCCTTTGATAAAAGCACTAGACAAGATATTATATAAGGCAGTCAGTACAGTTTAATCAATCTGATCAGGTTTTTAAGACTCGATTCGTACGAACTTAACCTTAAAATTCTGTTAATGTTTAAATCTATTTTCTCAATATTTTACGTAAGAATTTTAAATTAAAATAAGTTAGTCTCCAAGTCATGATGGATGCTCAAAGTGCAATGCATACAATGCGAACTAAATAATTGTGTGAATTCTTATAAAATACGAAAAACACTGACAGCTGGTACGAAAGAATGTTACCTTAAAATCTTTTCCTCGTCTCCCAAACCAAATTTCGATGCTATTAACAAAAGGGTTTTACTAAATTTTGCCATTTTAAGACAGTTTTATCTCGTAACTATGTCAAAATTATCAATTTTTGTGCAGCCAAACAATCTTACAATTCTCGCGCCATTTGTACAAAATCCATTCATTCAGAAATGACAACCAAACGAACGGTCAGCTGATCACAATTCACTCGTTCATCTACCATAAACAATAACGTAAATTAACGAAATACATAACGTCTACTAAGCGTTGAGTCTATGGTAGTAACGAGCGCCTGAAAATAGTTTTTGTCCTCGTTTACCTTACAACGATAAAACGAGAAAGAAGAAAATTTGACATTTCAAGGTAGTGATAACAGGGATGCACTCAGTTTAGTTTACTGAAAAGAAACCTATCAAATTGGAATATTAATAAAAATTTGCGAAAAACGTAAATAATTTCAATTTTATTTGTGAAAATTTTATTTTTCTTTAAATTATTATTCAAAATATGACACCGAAATCAACTCGATTTAGTACTGACCACGCCCCTTCAACTCGATTCAACTGAAATTTCTATGATAAAATACCTTTTCGTAATATCAGCGGCGACATGTTGATTTTTTTCATAGGTTCTGTGAAGCCGATACGGATCGCTGTCATTGCTACAAAATGTCTTTGTAGTTATCAGGGTGTAGGTCATTTAATTGTAGTCTTATTAAACTAATCCGTGCTAATTTTCACATGCTAAGACTTTTGTAAAGAGAAAGAAGAGGATCCACTCCACCCGAAATCAAGGGTGTGTATGCAGTGATAGACCAATATAGATTTGTATCAAAATAATCTCAAGCTATTTATAAATATTATTTTCTCGGCTTTTACTTATGTTCAAACGTTAATAGTAACGTCTGGTCTATAATTAACTCGTGAAAGTTTATAAATATTACAGTATTCTATGGTGGTGTGGTGAGAAGAGACGGGTCATTATAATTGAAGGTTGCCATCTTTTTGTGGGATAAAAGTGTGTTTGGTGCTCCTGGGCGGGATTTTTGGGATCGCCTTTCCCTGGTTAAACTTCCCGTGCATTTAAATCCAAGTTCACACCGTCTCCCGCGTGTAGACAAGTGATCTGAACGTCTTCGCGAGTGGTCACGTTCTTGGAGTGAAAACACCAATTTTCGGACTCCGAACTTCAAATCGTAGTGAAGTGTGGTTACAGTGAGTGGCAAGTGTGTGTGGTTGCAGGTAGCTATGCAAGTGGTGGTTGTGCGCGCGAGATAATATCGCGTTGAATTGAAGTGACGATGAGGGCGCAGTGAGAGACAAGACGGCTTCGTCGGTGTCGGGGGGGCGCGCGGGGAGCAGAGTCTCCTTCGCAGGCCAACCAGGACACGGTGGATAACGCCAATCCCACCTGCTGGTAAGTACAATAATAACCTATACCAACACAACTACAACAATGTCAAGGGTAATATCTGCTATACATGAAAGATCTAGACTTTTGGAATACATCCACTAGACTGAGTTTTTCATATTATTATAATGAATAGTGGGTCATATCCTTGTGTCTGTTGCTGTTTTGCGCAGTCTTCTTATTCCAGTACTGTATTTATGCGAATATTTATCTAGGCACTGAGAACTGTTGCAAGAATCGCTCTCAAAGAGGTATAATTCTTATACCCTCCTCGACCACACTTTATAATGGTAACCTACATCACACACTTAACTTAAAGCCTAAACAACACCACTGACAACACAATGTGAGTAGTTGAACTTGAAATTGAATTGAAAAATATAGAGTACACAAAAATTCCCACTTACATCATTAATGAGAAACTTTAAAAGGATGCTTGTTTTGTAAAGTCATGGGCACATGCATGTCATTCATAGAGTAACAATGTATGTATAAATAGTTTTATATGTTACACTATGTAGTCAAACAATTCTATATGAGTAGTCTTAAATGAAGGATATTGCTATTTAAAATTTACTCTTAGTGCATTGTCACTTTTAGCTGCATTCTGACTGCACAGCAACTGCAAAATAGCTATTGGCATGCAGTTTGAATACAGTCTGGGTAACTGCATCTGCAATTACTGATTGCTGCCAGTTGCTTGAGTACAAGTAATAAATAAACAAATAGTCTAAAACTTTTTGGAATTTTCAGAAAAAAACAATTAAAACAGCATGTTTTAGCAGCAGTAAATCTCCTTGTGGCGTAACCTGTCTCTACTGCCAAGTAGTGTATTGTGAGCATTACATTTTAATTTTAAAGGATAGGGTGCTGGTGATCTTTCATGCAAATGAGACTTAAACTTATGTTTCTGGGTGATGGGTGCAGTGCAGTGCTCCTCAGATCTTCGTAATTTAAAAGTCTGACTGGCACTGCAAAGTGTTATGTACAGACGTATCTCTTACCACCACATATGCACAACCTGTTTGTCTCCTCACTTTGTATCACAAAAAACATTGAGTATCATACAGTTCACCGGAAAGTTGAAATTATTGAGAGACAATAGCGTAGTCGAATATGATATACTGAAGTATATCACTTTATTAGTTTTAAATATATTTCAATACCTCTGAACACTATGCCATTTTTATTTTTAGTAATTTTCTGTTATTTTTGTAAACAGCTATATTTATTAACTAATATTATGCTACCTTGGATTTTGTAATAAAAAAAAAGGGGTCTAAAATGAAATTGAAAAAAAAATTAAAAACGAATAAATAAAGAAACAAAACACAAAAGAAACAGAACAGGTCTAAAAATTAAGTGGGTAGTGTTCATTTGAGGTATTGATTAGTTTAAAGCTAAAAAAGGCTTTAACCGTGAAGGAAAACCTTACAAAAAAACCTAAATGTGAAATAGTTAGTTGTTATGTAAGACTGCAAAGTTGTTGCTTGACACAAGTGCTTGTATTGTAACCTGACTTAGCTAAGGGTTCTAAGATTGAAAAATAGAATCTTGAGCGTAGCCTGGGTTTCAACACACGAGACGCAAAACTTTGTTGCCGAGCAAAACACACAATTTTTCTCTGACATAGTGAGGAAAATGGTAGATGAAAGAAAAACGGTTGAACTATAACAAATCAATTTCAATAAACAAATTTAGTTACCGTTGTCAATTTAATGTCAACAATAATAAGAATAAAATGTATCAAGGGATTTATATTACACAAATAATGTATGACAAATCGCGTAGTTGTACGTCATTATGTTTTTTTTTCATCTAAAGAAATAGTTATGTGAACCACAGTCCATTGTGGAGTTCAAATTTCAAAAACCTCTTTGACGCTAGCGTGGAAAAAACGCTTATGCGCACAGATGCGTAAGAAAGCCTTTCTGAGCTGGTGAGGTGAAAAATTATTTGTAATTGGGCCATTCCAGCGAAAATGACACTGCAGTTCAAAAAATAAATCACACAATTTGGTTTTAATTGTATGACAAGAATACGCCCAATCCATTCAAATTAAAATTGAACTATTATTGTATTTTTTATCTTCACGCCAAAAAAGGTTTGACGTTGGCTACGCCCAAATTTGTGAAACAAATATATGCTTAAAGTTCGCGTGACATGCGACAGGAGATGTTAAATTTTACGCATTAAAAGTACCAAATTCATTTTAGCGGAATAACTCTAAAACTAAAGGGATTAAAAAAAATCCGTAGTGACAGTTGTCGATCATGTATAATCATAAATATAATTAACCTGTAGCATTTTGAGGATAAATCGAAAAAATGTAAAAATTAGAGGTCATTTCGTGATTTTTATCTATCGAGGAAACTTTATTGTTTTATGTTTCTGATTAATGTCTATGCTTGAATATATCGTGTAGTTACTCATGCAATATTTTATTTTTAACTTTAAAGTAGATATATACCCCTCTAAAATCAAATCGAAGATTAGGAATTTTTCCTCTGCTCCCTCTTAGCCATAGTGCTGTCGCCTATAGTGGAGCATTATTTTATTATAATGTTAGCAACAATAAAAACTTATTACTGTCGAAGAAAATACAATTTACGAATTTCAAAACAGTGATAAGTGGTTGCATGGAAGGAAGTATATATGGTGAGGAGTTAATAAAATTTCAATAAGTACTAATTTCAAGTCCCACCCGTCACAATGAAACATATATATTTTTATTTCAACCAATAAATTTGCAATCTATTGGCACTTGCTTATGTAAAAGTAACAATTATGCTAAGTGTCATTACTTTGGCTTGGTTGGGCATTGCGCACGTAAATAGGAATGTAAATATTAAGAATTGAAAGTGTGTCCCACAGCGAGACTTTTGAGAGAGTATCACAGCGATGGGTGGGTCACACTTCTGAACGTTTTTACTGTGAATAAATGTTTGTATTTTCATTGATTCGAGTTTTTACGATGTTTACTAGGTATAACAGTTGCTTATTTTCAGAGTTTAACATTTGATGTGTTAAATTGTGACGATTGGGAAACCATTTTGTGACAGGTGGGACAAGTTACATTTGAATACACTGAATTTTTAAAAATACACTGTTTGTATGTAGATCATCATTTGTAATCAAACTTTTTATAATTCTTCTCATAATTACGACATTTTAATACATAAAAAAAGGCAATTAAAAAGTCACAATATTTTTCCTGATGATTTTTAATATAAGGAAATTCATAAAAAATCTGTTTCGACTAGCTTTAACTATGTATTTGAGCAAAACTTCTAAAATTTTATTTACTTGGTACTTGGTGCAACGGGCTGGTATCCGCAAAATTTTATTTATTTTGATATGATACATTATCTTCAAGGATGCGGCAGGATTTTTCAAATTTATTAACGCATTTTACATGCGTGACTTTGATTTCATGTCGTCATAGACAGTGTTTCAAGAAAAATAATAGGTTTACTTTATCAGTGTTTTTTTTTTATGTTAAAATGTCTTAATAACACAAAAATTATAAAATATTTACTTACTAATGATGAATCTCATATTAAGCAGTGTAATTTTATTAATTCTGTGTATCCAATTGTAACTCAGCCCAACTGTCACAACTTAACATATTAATTTCCTTAAAATTTATCAAAGTTATTAATTAAGTGTGTATATAAAATAGAACTTTAACATTCAAGTTATCTCATATGAAAAGCTTTTTGAACAAAATATTAATAGTTTGTCTTGATCTTGGCAATGAAGCCATCAACTCAAACAGGCGGGTGTCGTGAGTGTCCCACCCGTCCCACTTAGAAAATTAAAAGTTTTGTGTATAAATAATGTCATAAATTTAACTAAATAAATAGTCGCAGTTGAATTGCATATCTGGCTTCATGATATTTTCATTTTAAGTCTAATTAGCCAATGGTTAGAAAGCAATTACGCAATATTCAAGAAAAAAGGAGTCAAAATGTCCCACCTGTCACTTTGGAACGGCCCAATTACTATTTGTTGACTTTCTAAAAGTGTTGGACCATTGTCCTTAGACAATTGGCCAGCTCCAGGACATATATTTGTCGATAGAAGGATCCATTTTAATAGTTTTAGTTAATAAAATTAATGGAAAATAAAGTAAAATACATTACTTTACGTAATAAAAAGACAATGTAAACTCTAAATATAAGTAGCAAAACTCTTTACAGCAGGGACACCATCATATAAACATTATACCGCATCACCATGGGGTTATTTGCCATGTTTTTTATTATTTTTTTTTTAATCTAGTTTTAAGAGGCCTAAAGTGTTCAGGCGTTTAATCGATCTCGTAATGTATGTATATATATAAATAACTATCCTACTTTTTCTGTCACTACTCCCATGAGAGGTCTCACTCCTTATCAGAAAGCAAGACCTCACAGAGTATAGAGCTTTTAGAGTTGCTCAGTTTTGAAGTTTATTTGCCCTATGTACGTAATTTTCTTCACCTCCTCTTACTAGCTTGACTGTAATCTCAGATGACAATCCAGTCCAATTGGACACGACAGCACGCCAACTTCATTTAATTTCTTTTAACTTCATTTAACTGGTTCATTAAATTTTGTTATTATGCTGTGATTCATTGTTTTGTTGAAAAGTTGCAGTTTGTGATACATATGCCATTTCTGCACACAAATAATTGTAATTTTCATCATTATCAGCTGAGAAATACTTCACTGCTGCACAAAGGTTCAAAAGTATATCGTTATGTAGTACTTGACTTAGACATTTTTAATATACTTTTTTATTTTTGATTGTGAAAAAATTGCACAATTATTATATGCATATTTTTCGATAGTACCATACCATGCTCCCTTCACTGTTATTTTAAATACAGGTGTTACCAAAATGAAACATAAAAACATTTGTTATTCTTCTCTCTGACGTCTGAATAAAATTTACTATGAGCAGTCTGCACTCCATTATAATATGGATATTATTTCTACTCACACTACTAGAAAAACAAACGA